TTCCTGGTTTGTTCCTTTTTTTTTTTTTTTATATTTAAACCGGAGGCTGAACATGTTCCTGTTTTCTCTTCCTTCTTTCCTCATCTGTCCTATTGCTTTTCTCTGACTTTTATTCCCCTTTTAATCCTTTATTGATGCCCTAGTGGCCTTGCATTTTCCAGTTGCCAGAGGTTGCTTAAATTTAATGCTAAAGATACGGTGATCTCAGAAATGACAGGAAATGCATGTAATTATCAAAACCCCCACTGTAGCAAGTCATGGGTATGGAGTTCTGCTCTTGTCTTTGTTAAGGAGTTTGGGTTTTTTGATCTCAGGTTATTTAAGCTTTCTACACTGTTCTTCAGTGCTTCTGTTTGAGGAGGCTGATGACTGCTATAAACATAATTAAGTTAAAACCTGCATTGCTTTAAGAGATTTGATAAAATTGTCAGTTACTGCAAGTTTCCTCTATGTATTTCTGAGTAATGTGACTTTACCAAAAGATGTAGGCAGACTGTTCCTGTGTGCCTCCAGCATGGTAGGGTGTTTCATCTAAACATAAGGGTAGTGCTGGAGGTCAGTAGGTGGAAAAGCAGTATCAAACCCATAGGTTTTTTTTTATTTTGTTGTTTGTTTGTGGGTTTGGTTTTTTTTTTTTCCTTTTCACATGCTTATGGTACTTCCTGAATTGTAGAGGACCCGTGACTTTGGTAGCTGGGCCTTAGGTTTTCTGATCATCTCTGCAGCAGGGTACTGAACTCTTGAACCAACGGGCTGCTGTCTGTCTTTAGACTATGAACTGAACAAATGAGTTTTAAAATAAAAAAAAAAAAAAATCTCTTTAATGTAATTCCATGCATCAACTCCAGATTAAGACTGCAACTTACAAAACTATTGATACTTGAGTGCGGTGTCCCAAAGTGGTGGCTCCTACTCTTTTGAATTCTGCTGTCTTTTTTCTGTTTTGTCATTTTCTTCCTCATTGTCTTACTTGCAGCTCTCAGAGAAGCTGCTACACAGCTAGCAAAGGATATTTCTCTGTTAGAGAGAGATTTGTTTCTTATCAATATGTAACTGATCTTTTCATCAAATATTGAAGAGTCCAAGCTCTGTTTTCCTTCTTGCAATGCTTGTCAGATCCCCTTCTCCAAAATAAATGCTTCTTTATTAATTGGCTGATATTTATTTTTCTTTTCAGTGGGCTCATTGGTCGTAGCTGGGCCATGGTGTTTGCTGCTGGAGGCTTCAAAGTGAAACTTTATGATATTGCACAACAACAGCTAACAAGTGCACTGGAAAACATTCGGTAGGTCACCTGACTTGAAATGACTGGGACTGTAATGAAACTTTGGGATTTCTGTAATTATGAATGAACAGCCACATCTTACTATTTAAGGGGACATAGATTTTAAGCTTGGAAGAAGGCTTTAACTTAGAAGTACAGGTCCTGTTAAAGAACTGCGCTCCCAAATCTCTCAATGACACTTCTGAAGAGCACTTTAATTGTTAAGTAATGATTTAAGAGCTTAAGTTCAGATCCAAATTCTTGAAATGATGTTTACCATGATTATGTTATCTATAGGCTAAGCTTAAAATGAACATAAGAGTTTTTGCATAGAAAGACACCAAAGGCTTGCAAAATGGAAGTAGGTTAATATGGATTGCTGAGGACCCCTGCTACAATTATTAGTATTTTATAACTAGAATTTTAAAAATTCTTAAACTAATATTTTTTGAGTCTTAACAAATTGCTAGTTCCACTAACAATGCAACTACTGATCAGTTACAGTAGCGGCTGGGAAGCATCTTTAGAAGGAGCAAATTTGAGAGCGTGAACACAAGAACAGTCGCACTGGTTCAGACCAACAATCCTCCAGCCCTTTACTTTGTTGCCCTGAGGCACTATGGCTAAAGCTGCATGCTTTTGGTATACAACAGAGCTGCAAGTTCAAGTCCTTCCTGTCTGTTCCCCTCCCCCAACCTTCAGTGCGTAGAAGTTGCTTATGTATTCAGTAACTCTAACTAGATTTCTTCCAAGTATTTCTCTAACCTTCCCTTGAACCTGTGTAAATCCTTTTGTGGCCTCCTTGCCAAAGGACTTTGTGTTCTGCAGGTTTACTGCTCACTGTGCGAAGGGCTGTTCCCTTTTGTTTGTTTTCAACTTGGCTCCTCAGTTGCTTTGTTTGGCCCCTATGTCTTGTGTTAGAAGGGACAGTGGCTGGTTGGTTCTATTCACCATCTTCTTGCTGCACCTGAAATACAGCTTTTTCTATGCCTTTGAGAGCGAGAGTGCTTTTATAGAGTGGTTCTGTACACAATCTTATGTTGCCGTATCAGCATTTAATTCTAAAGTTCAGGTTGCTTCATGATCAGCATCAACCTAATGCGTCAGCCCTCCCTTCATAATGTCTTGAGTGAAATAACGTCAGCTGCTGCGTGTCAGCTGGTGTGGGGATTAAGCTGCACCTAAAAAAGGGTTGTGGTGTGTTGCATCCTGATTGCTTTCTGTAACAAGGCTTACAGCATGGAGGAGTGACATCAGGATCCCCTTGTAGGTCAGTTTAGTTGTTGGAGTTTAGAAGTTAAACAGTATGTGATACCTAGTGAGATTTGCTAAAAAAGGCTTGATAATGAAAGAGGGGGAAAATCTATCTCCTACAACTTTTTTTTCTTTCCCCAAACCTCTCTTTCCAGGTAGGTCTTAGTCAGACTGAACAGCACTGTTGCTACACCTAGATGACAAGACACTTCTGTTTTTTGCAGAATTGCTGTCATAGCAGTAGCCATGATGAGATTCTGGATTATTGCGGAGGGGGCAGTTTTGCAGTCTACGTTACTAAAGACAGCACTCGCCTCTCTTTCTTTCTTTTTCTAATAGCAAAATGAGGACTCTAGCCTTCTAAGGTTTTTTGCTTGGGAAAGTGAAGCATAACATATCATGTGTAATAGGGTAGAGTGCTATTTGCATGTGTCTTTACTGTCCTGTGCCTGCATGTGCTGTCCCATAGGAGTTCAAGGCAGGTTTTGCCTTTTACATAAGGTGTTCTTGACTCAACTTTTAACTAACTTGTGTATCTTGGCTGTTGTAACATCCTAGTTAAAAAGCCTAGTTTCAGGACAGTGTAGTTTTTGTGACAAGAATACAAGCTATGCACTTTCTTCAACCAGTATTTTAATGATTATATCTATCAAAATACGGTCAAGCTTGAACTTCCTTGCACTGATTTCATAGCACACGACCTGCAATAAATCCCTTTTAGTTACTGATAAGATACCTGTGTAAGAGCTGGAGCTCGAGTAGGTAATGAGGGCTCACCACTGACAAAGCTGGTTGGTGGCTACTTCTCTGGACTTGCTGGGATTTGCTTTCCTTTTTCTCTCCAAATAGCTAGTACTTTTAGGGAGGTTTTTAGGCTTAGGATTTTTGTGGGTTTTTTTGGTTTAGTATTGAAAAGTATTTCTTCCAGTCTAGTCTGCAGTCGAACTTGTAGTGTATGGAGGTACTCTACATATTAAGGAAAAACTGGAGTGTAGAGAGGACTGCTTGTAGTTTCCCTTTTCTAAACAAAAGAAAAGTGGGATCTGAGTAGTAAACAACATTCACTTTACTTCTAAAAGGAAATGATACTCCTTTGACAGAAATGATACTTAAGTATTTATTAACTATTTTACGTGATGGACTTTTAGTACATTGACTTGTAACTCATTGTTCCGAATTTATGGAAAGGGCATCTCAGGGTTCATTAACCTAACAAATTCAACTCTCACACAACAGTAGGTAGGCAGCAGCAGTGTGTAATCTTGCAAGAGGACTGGAATGAGTCTGGGATGGACCTACAATGATCGTGAGAGCCTGCATGTGTCTGTGTAGAAAACCTGAAATATACTCTGTAAATTTATTCAAAACACTTGATTATGGGTAAAAAATAGGATTAAAGTGTGGAATTTGGATTTACTGAAACTAGAAATAGGTATCATGTTGCCACAATGTCAGTAGACCAGGTGCAGAAAGTAAAGGAGGGTGTGTTTACTAAGGCTTACCATGGTGTGATGGATTTACTACCTATCTACCTGTTGCCAGACACGTGGCAGTCGGTGCCCTGACATGCAAAGTGACCACACGTTGGATTGAACTGGATGTACCAGTGGCATTATTAATCAGGGTCTACTCTAATGGAACAACCTTTTGTTCTGCTGAAGTAACAAACTAATGAAGAGCTTTATGCCACGCTTGACCTGCTGAATACATGCTGTAGTAACCTCCCTTGGAAAATATATGCTTTCCTCTGAGTCAGTGTGATTCTGGTTTGAATGCAAGATTGATAAACTTTAAAATAATGAGAATTAGAAAAACAAGTAGTACACTGTTCCTGAAAGTAATCCTAAAACCATGCCCCCCAAAAAACCTTTACGATTCTTGTAATATGTAAACTTTTTCCGAATAGTTACTGTGCTACTGTTCTAAACATAATTATGCTGCTGATAAAGACTGATTAATTAAAGTGAAAGTGCTGTATTTTTTCCTGTATGTAACTGGTTCATGTATAGAACAGTTTTTGCATGTAAAATCAAAGACTATTGCAAGAGGAAAAATTTAGTTGACTCTGAAGAGGACAGTAAAACTTGGATATTTGTGCATGCATTCTGTGATTTCTTTATAGAAGTAGATGTTGGTTAAATATAGTATTTACTTAGATACAAAACTGTATCTCCTCCAGGACACAGGAGCAGGTAACTGGTTTTAATATATAAAAACCAAACAGTTGCATGCATAAAGGCTATAGCTAACTTAAAAAAAATCGTAGAAGATCTCGGGAAGTAGTCTGTGCTAAAATATAAAGACAAGGTTATTTTTAAAACTACATTATTATATTCAACTGCACTAAACAGTAAATTTATACTAGAAGCTCTTTTCTATCTTCTGATCCTTCCTTTCTTCTCTTAGCCCAAGTAGAAAAGATTTTCTGTGACAGAATGAAGTTGACTTTGTGAAGCGGTAGTTGCATCTAGGGATATGGTCACATAAAATTAATATTGCTACTTTTATCACATAGATACAAGTGAAATGCAATAGTAGTATCAATACATGGAAATATTTGGTTGAAAGGGAAGCAACTTTGACCTTCTCTTTATTAAATAATAGGGACCCTCTCCCTTAAATTTAATTTAAATTGAATTCATTAAAATGAAAAGAAATTATTAGGAGTTCTGTTCTTCCAGAATGGACTTCTACAGAGCTCTGCCTTCTGAAAACTGATATATGGTCCTAAGGTTGCGTGGTACTAAGTCTAAACTCAAAAGTGAGGCTGTTCAGTGAGAATTACTCGTATGTCAGCTTTATCTGACTATAGGTTGCCCTTCTGCGTGGCTCAAAGATGTGAGGCCTTTAAAGAGTTGGAGCCAAGCAGGCTTGAGATCAGAATATCACACTTCCTCTCTTCATTAAGTATTAATTTAACCATAAATTTTATTGGACTTGATATATAGTAAAGTGCAGTATTGCACTAAGCAACCTTAACTTTTTCCGTGCACAATTGCTATGAAAAACAAACAAGATGTGGGGGCTAGAAAAAAGTAGCATTTTTCTGCCCACCCCTGGCCAAGTGGAGAGAAGTACTTCAAGAGTTCTGTACTGTTGTGAATGGGGATCTGGAACTAGTAATGAAGTGCCTGATGTATGGCAGGTTGCAAGGCCGAGGAAGCAAACCATATCTATGCCTATGACTTCGTTATCACCAGAGTTTTGAAAGACGCTTCCCCTGTAACTCAAGCTCATTGTCTTTCTTGTTCCAGGAGGAGACTAGTCTCTAGAAAAGACATTTGAATGTACATTACCTCTTGCTGTCTGGTGCCCTCTTATGCTTGCTTTGTATGAAAAGAGGAACCGCTTACTGGATTGGTTTTGTAGCTTGAGGAGTACACTGATACAGGCTTTGCTCTCTTTTCCTAGCTCATGGCATGTTCCGTGGCTGTGTGGTTAGATACTTTTCCCAAGCTGGCTTCTTCTTCCAGTCTCTGGTCTGTATTGCTGTATTGTATTGACACTGTATTTATATCAGGGTCAAAATGCAGCTTGGCTTAGGTCTTCCTTGATAGTTTTATGTATCTCCTTTGAGGGGACACCTCCTAAGTAGACAATTCTTATCAAAGTATATTTTAATCTTGAGTGCCTGACACTGGCACATCAAGCTTGTGCTAAATCATAGGCTTGGTTCTACCTTTCCATTTTATCCACAACTGCCCGCCCTGCCCCCCCCCCCAAAAAGTGCAGTTAACTAGCTAGGGAAAATTGCTTAATTTGCAGAA